GAAGAAAAAGGGGGGGGGGGGGCTGGACCCAGACCTGCTCCACACTAACACACACACAGATCACAGGGCTGCTCCAAACCCCAGCCAACCAGAACACAGAGAGAAGCTGCACATAAACACACTTCTTCAACCACCACCAACCTCAGCCACCCACCCCAAGGCACTTCCAGCACAGCCAGCTCCACCCACTCCCCACATGGCTTCTACAGGGGGCATTCTGTCCCAGGGAGAATGGGGAGTCCCCTCAGGCACCCACCCTGCTGCTGCTCCCACTAGAGCAGAAGATTTACTTGACACAAGTGAGTGCCTCTTTCCTCCCTGACCCTGACTGAGCTGGCTGCTGGGTTTCCTCTCCTGTTTAGCCGGCTGGCCCCAAGTAAGGTCACATGAGGTTATTCACATGTGCCTCCATCAGCACACCGTCCTGGGCAGCCCCCTTGTTGCCCCTGTCTAGGGCCACCAGTGCTCAAGGGGAAGGTTATAAACCTTTGATTTTAGATAGCAGTTCCTGACCTCAATGAAATACAGTTTTCACTGCTATTGCTGCTACCAGTATCCTTATCCCTGAAGCAGGCCTGTGATGGGGGAGGGGGCAACAGGGGCAATTGCATTGGGGCCTGGTGATTGAAAGGGGCCTGAGGTTCTAGCTGCCACTGTAGCCAGCAAGCTGGACCCTTTAAATTGCCACCAGAGTGGAGCACTGGGCCATGCACTCTGAGCAGTGCTAAGGGCTGGGAGGGTTCTGTGCTCCAGGCAGTACTGAGGGACAGCTGCCCTCAGCCCCACCCCTTCCACCTTCAGCCCCACCCCTTCCAGGAGTGCAGAGCCAGTACCCCCACATATATTGCCCAGGGACCTGTGGAAGCTATTGCTTCCACTGCCCTATAGACACGAGAACTGTCCCCCATTACCACCCTAGAGAGCAGTCTGACCATGAGCAGATAGCTAAAAGTGCCATTCATTATCAGAAAAGAATTATCAGTTCACCTAAAATACCTGAAAAGGGGAGATCACCATCCAGTATATCTGTGCATAAAAATAAGGGCTGTGGAGTTTGCTGCCAGAGATTAGTGAAAGAGGATCCACCTTGCATCTGTGAACCTGTTGGGCTGTTGAACCATCTCCTTTTACCCACTGTCACTCACTTGGAATGCAGCTGAGCTCTTTCTGACCCTAGCAACCCTCAGTACCCAGTAACTAGATGCCAGGTAGGTATGACAATTCCCAGTCTTACAGTATGTCATTAGCAGTTCTAATGAGTAGACAGCATCATACTCCTGAACCGGATAATGATGTGAAGATTTAAATTCTCTTCTGCAACACTCCCTAGCTCTCTTTTTAAGCTTACTACTTTAAAGTGTAAAACAAAAGCTGAAGAAATCACATTATTTCTGACCAGGTTGTTTTACTTAAAGTACTTGAGCAAATGGTAAAGGAATTTGATTATTAAAAGTTTGCATCTTGCCTTACTTATTAGCATTTGGTAGAATAATAATTATGTTACCAAACTATGTGTCTTTACAGATTTACTCAGCCAAACATAAACATGGATCCTCAATTTAGACTATGGTTAAGTTCCACGCCTGATCCTTCTTTCCCCATATCTATCCTGCAAAAAGGTTTTAAGGTAAGGGTTGCTAAAACACCACAATCAGAAAGTTGTTGTGGCTTAGAATACTCAATCTGAAAATTTCAAATTTCTCATTCTAATATTATCTAAACAATAAACAGAGCCAAACCAAAACTCTACACTCCACCATCTAACCTTTATGAGGGAACCCAACTCAAGTTCCTCTAGTCTGTATACCTGAAGCCCAATCTAGGTGGCTGTGTTTCTCCATATAAAAAGGAGACATTTGTAAAGAGTACTTTGCTTAGAATAAATCTCTAACTAGTGAAGATTTATTTACCATTATCCCCACAAGTGAGCTCAATATTATTCTTGCAGTAACAAGAAAAAGTCAGAATTCAAATATCCTGGATGTATTTGTTTAATGTATTTTAAATTCAAGAGTTTGATACAATTATATGTTGTTGCAATTAAATAAAATGAATGTGCGCTAGAAGAAGATGGTATCATGAAAAAAACACTTCCATCTCTTGTTTCCCTGGAAGAGATAAATAGAAAGAAATTTTTTGTTGTCACAACTTTTGTTGGTGGATGAGTGCTCCGTTTTCCACATGTATTTGTTTAATGTATTTTAAATTCAAGAGTTTGATACAATTATATGTTGTTGCAATTAAATAAAATGAATGTGCGCTAGAAGAAGATGGTATCATGAAAAAAACACTTCCATCTCTTGTTTCCCTGGAAGAGATAAATAGAAAGAAATTTTTTGTTGTCACAACTTTTGTTGGTGGATGAGTGCTCCGTTTTCCACACTTGTGTGTGTGTGTGTGTGTGTGTGTGTGTGTGTGTATATATATATATATATATATATATATATATACACGCACACACACACACACACACACACACTTTCTTCAAGGGTGCATCTACACAGCAGGGCTTAACTTGAAATAAGCTACACAAATTGAGCTACATCAGTTGCATAGCTTTTTTCAAAATAGCTTATTTTGAAATTGGGAGCATCCACCCAGCACTTATTTTGAAATAGGTTGACTGGGTGGAGCTGATTAATTACCTGTGAAGCTGTGCTGCCTCACAGCTTAGAGGGAACACTAACTGGCACCAATGGATATTAGCCAGAAAATATAGTAAATGTAATACATTTGTCTTGTTTCCCTCTTTTTGTTTTAAAGATGGCAATAGAACCACCTCAGGGTCTGAAGGGAAAATTACTTCAGACATTTGGATATAGTGGCAGTGGAGTAGTAACAGAAATGATCTTCAACAAGGCCGAATGTGGCTTATCATGGAAGAAGCTGCTGTTCAGCCTGTGTTTCTTCAATGCTGTAGTCCATGAAAGAAAGAAATATGGAGCTTTGGGCTGGAATATTCCC